ATATATATATACAAACACACATATTTATATGGGCATTTGCATACATGCCATAGCTATAATATTTTAATTTTTAATATTTAATATCATATCAAGAATATGACTATTTTAATCTTTTAAAAGAGTAAAATAAATATTTTCATGCATTTATTATTATTATTATTTTATTTATGAAAGATAAGACAATTCTTATAATTTGAGTTTGCGATGACACGTCATTGTGGGAAACTACACCCTCAATTATACTGTGGGAAACTAGGCTCTCAACCACTAAATGACGAATAAAATAGAGAGGCTTATGTGTGGTTGATGGGTTCCCTGTATTTATTTCTAATTAGTCAAAATTTTTAAAGATATAATTTTCATTAACTAAGAATAAATGATGCAATAATTGAAAGGGGCGGTTATAGCATCCGAAGCAATGTTATTTACAAACTAAACACCTTTCATCCAATTTTCGAATTCTAACTCAAGTATCGAAATTCATGATAAAATCACAACCCTTATAATTTTTTTTTTAATATCAAATTCGTAATAATTTGATTGTGGCATGTAAAAACACATCTATATTTAAAAAAAAAAATATCAGCACGAATCTCATGGTTGATGAGTGGCTCAAGAAGAAGATGCGATTAATCGAACATAGCCTTCGACAATTATTTTTCAGCTTAATATTGACAAAATAAGTGTCTTGTTTGAACAATCGGCGGAAGGCGCCAGGAAATGCTCCCGCAAGGCTGTAATTAGCCTTCACGATGATGGATGGAGAGCACTCTTTTTGGACTTGATATAGATCGAGTAAAGGCTCCCCAGACGATCCACAACCCTCATCGATCGAATCGATCCTCGGTATTATTAAATGCAATAATTTTGCAATTACCAAAAAGTCCCCTTGAAATGCTAATGATGAAGGGGCCAATATGCACTTTTGTAACGGTCGGATCTATGTCTATAAATAGGGGCTCATGTCATGAATAATGAACGAGATAAATGTTTTATGATAAGTGAAACTTTTGATACAGGTCACATGAAACTCCTAATCATGACATAGGCCCTTATTTGTAGAAAATAGTAAAAAAAGACTGTCATTTATTCATGACATCGACACATGTCCCCGCATTACAAAAGTACATATTAGCCCCCTCATTATTAACTTTTCAGGGGGACTTTTTGATAATTATCAAATTATTTGCAGATAATAAGAATAGAGACTGATTCGATCGATGAGGATTGCCAATCGTATGGGTAGTCTTGAATCGATCATTATCTAGTTCGAAAGAATGCTCCCGTTAGATTGTCTTGAAGACTGATTACCGTCTTGCTGAAGTTTCTCTTGGCGCCTTCTATCGATTGCTCGAACAAGATATTTCGTTTGCCTCTACAATAAATTCTTAACCCACTCTACTCTTTTTTCTCTCATTCTCTCGTCTCCAACTCTCGAGGCGTGCTCGTAAAAGATAATTTGGGATCAAACATATACATTGCGTTCTTCATTTTTTATTAAAGTTAAACGAGTGATATTATTTATTTGACATGAAAGGTTTGACTGCTATAAATATATAAGAATTGGGTGGTATGTATGTAAATGCCATTAAAATTAAGTATTAACCATTTTTATAAGCCGATAAATATTATATGAATAGAGGGAGAGAGCAGAAAACCAAATCGCAGATTTTTTTTTTTTTTTTTTTGGTCATGTTTTAATATTTATTTTTAAAATTAGTTTGGAATATCAAAATTATTGAATTTGATATAATTAGTAAAATAGATTAATTACATGGTTACCACCCAATTCCTATGTATTAACATATGAACCACTTAAATTTCAAAATTTACCAAAAGGACCCATGCTGAAAGCATAGGAATTAGATGGGCTTTACATCAGTTTGAGGAGCAAAGAGTCTCAGCAATCCATAGAGCCAAGTGTTGATGTTTTGTTTTTGGGCCTTTACATTCCTACCACCCAATTCCTATGTATTAGTTTATTAACCACCCAAATTTCAGTTTTTTGTGAGGCTCTCGACACAAGAGTGGTCAAGGAGGCTGTCAGATATAGAATGAACCCAGGGAAAAAATATTCTATCCGGACGTTCGCACATCTAGACGGCCAATCACCGGTGGCCACGTCGCCCGCCGATGGGGTTTATGGCAACATGACCGTCTGTGGTTTGGGCTCGACACAAGAGTGGTCAAGGAGGCTGTCAGGCATAGAACGAACTGAGGGAAAAAATATTCCATCCGGATGTCTGCACATCCAGACGGCTAATCACAGGTGGCCACGTCGCCCGCCGATGGGGTTTATGGCAACATGACCGTCTGTGGTTTGGCGGTCGGGTGTGGGGGGTTCG